AGTCTTCTTCCTTTTATTTTCCCGACGAATCCTTTATCATTTTAGTCCAAACAAAGTACCTCAAACAATAAGATCGGGTAAAGATTGAATTGGGAGTTGAGGGTTCTATCCTGTTTTCATGATTCTCACATCTAGAATGATGAAAGATGTGAGAATAGACTTCCATGATGCTAATAAAACTTAGAAAATTTGAGATTATGTAATAATTGACGAGATTTGTTAACGTAGGAAATGACATCAGCTCTTTCTGTTAAATTTAATCCTTATTTTTATTATACGTTAATCCTAATAATATGTCACGAGGACAACATAATAAAGGTACTTGTAAGAATTCATTTTCATCATATTTCAAACAAACGGTAAGACATGAATCTTTTCTCATCTTCGGAAATAACAATTACTACTATCATGAATATTCTAGTTCTCATTCGAGGTGGAATTCAAATCTCGAATGAATAATATATGAAATGAATATGTCGTCATGAGGAATAGAGTCTCGTAACGATCCCGCATCAAATCCAAATCGATCGAAGTAGAACACAGAATGACGTAAAAACCGAAACCTTAATCAAACTAGACACTCATGCAAATGCATATGCATGTAAAGGCAATCCACCTAACTCATACTACAGGACTACTAACTCAATAACTCATATGCATGTGGTAGTGTCACTATTAATTGTATACAACCTAAATGTGGCCGGGAAAATTAACTCCGACGGACCAAAACTCCTCCAATCCAATGCATTGATTCTCCTCTCTTTTCTTTTCCTTCCGGCAGTTTCAGAGGCCACGTGGCCGAAGCTCATGTAAGGTACAGTAAATCTTTTCTCTCCCCCGTTTATTCCTTCTTTTTCCCAAACAAGCTGGCTAGCTGCATCGGCTAAGTTATTACAGGGTTTTTTTTTTTTACCGGTGGACAGCGCGGTGGAGAGAAAGCGGGTAAATAAATAGTAAAAACGGCCGTGGCCGTGACAGAACCGGCGCCCTCATTCCTATTATCTGTCCAGATCTACTGTCTTTTTATTATTTTCCAGATACTTTAGATTTTAAATTAAAAAAACAAAAATTGATAAAAGGTAGTGTGAATTTATGAATTAGTTAATTTGGGCTGATATCTCTTTTTCCGGCGGATAGACCGTTGATTGCGGTTGGAATAAAGCGGAGTCTGAAGGGACCCGTATTTTGTTTGACCGCGCCACCTCCTTTTGTCATTTTCTGCTAACTTTCTTTTTCTTCCGTTAATTAATTAACTAATTATTCTTTATTCTTTAACCACGGATAAAAAAATGTATTTGATTTTGCAGACGAATATAATATGAGGGTTTGGATTCCAGTCGATGATTTTTGCAGGTGACGCCCAAGTGACCGTCGGGAAGATCCGGGATGGTGAGGTAGATGATGTCCATGGAGGGATGATGTTGGAGGAGATTCGAAGTATGCGTGACTTGTTCCAGAAGTTTCGGGTTATTTTTGTGGGTCGGGAGTCTAATAAGGTTGTCCATTTGGTGGCAAGAAAAGCCCTTTCGTTGTCCCTTTCTTTGGTGAGGTTCAATTTTGTTTCTTGGTTGTTTTCAGCTATGTGACTATTTTGTATCTGTCTGTTTTCTCGGTAATACGAGCGATCTTTCGGAGAAAAAAAAAATAATATGAGGGAGGTGGGAGTGTGGACTTGATGAAATGGGCCGGAGGGAGGATGATGGGCCTGGCCGGCGGGGGAGGGAGTGTCGGTGTGGTTTAGTTTTATGATGTGAGTGACAAGTAAGGTAAGGGAGTAATGATGGGCGTGTGTATTATTCTATCGGATTTGGGAAGAATCATCTATCAGTCCTGGCTAAGGGCAGGGCGTCCTTCGATTGATCGGGGTTTAGGGCAGGGAAGGGCCATGGGAACTGGGAAAGGCATGGGGGAGCTGAGTTTACAGCCCAAACTTGTAGGACATTGTTCCCACGAAGCTGCCTGCCTGCGCACGTACTGGATCTCTTCCAACTCACCGCCAAATCGTTCATTTATTGCACACTTTCTCTTGTTATTCACCTGATGTTACATCCAGAGAGCCAGGGGTAGGATTGGAAGTTAGATATGATCATTTGATAATGATTTTAAAATCACAATGTTCGGTTATCATTCTAGAATTGTAAGGGGTGCACGATCGGTTATTGTTGGAGGCGCGAACAAGGCCTCCTAATCTGATTCCTCGGTCATTTCACATCCCGACGTTCGTTTTTTTTTCAATTTGAAGAATTCATTGGGGAGGGTGGGATCGAGGGAGTTGGGAGGTTCGAGCACGACCATGCATACTTGCGGAATGAATACTTCAAAGCTGTCTGTCTTGCACCCAATAGATAGCTTGTTGTACGATTTTATCCCCATCTCCGTCTTTTTTATTGTTCAAATTGTGCTGGTTTCGTTCTCTCCAGGATATACCAATAGGTTGCATTGAATATTCTCGAACATTTTCTTATGGGGAAAACTTCGAAAACCGAGCGAATCCAAACTGCTCAAAGAAGATTCGAGAATGGTATCTGAACATTGCACTTAATGTTCTAAATAGCTTAGTTAGTAAAATACGGTACGGGAAAGTTACGTACGGGTATTTTACTTTGTCTCTAAGCTAATGTTACGTTTAATAGTACGTAAATAATCGTAAATAGATAAAAATTAATTATTTTAAAAATAAATAAATATATAAATAATACTAAAGTTAACAATTTAATTCATTATATACGGATATTAAACGTGATATACGGGTTTTATACGTGTTTAGTACGGGAGCCATCAAATGAACGAGGGAAAATGAAACGTCTTGACAATAATACGTATACGGAAGTTTTAAACGGATAAAATACGTACGGGTACATATACGTGTATTAAACGGAGTATTTACTAACTATGCTAAATAGGTAATGAAAATATGTACTAACATAAATTTTTAAACCCCCTAGAGAACTGCAAATAAAAATAAAATAAAGAACACTTGCATATATAGCTTTACCTCTGTCAACCAGTTGATGTTGGGTATTAATTAGCTTACTGTTGTTGTTGTTGTTTCATTAATGTGGTTTTGAATTTGAAAATTATGATAAGAGAAATAGCCAGTGATGATGATGAAGAGATTTGAATTGTTATTATAACCCAATGATTCAAATTTGAATTAGGGAGTGTGGGTTTGATTTCCTTCAAGAAAAATTCCAACAGGAGAAGGAGAAGAGTATCTGAAGAAATTGCTGCGAAGATGGCAATTTAATGCAGCTGTGCGGTATATACCGTAACTGTGAAGATTGAATACGGATTCAGAATCCATCCCAGGCCCAGCAGAGCACAGAAGAAAAATATACTATTTATTTTCCCCCACTTCTTTATTCTACCCGTTTATTAGCTTGGGATGGTGTTCTCCTCTATTATCTATCAACCATTTGCTCGATCATAATAATAAAATAAGAACAATTTGCCCGATTTTAACTCTGGCGATGTTTGGCATTATGAAGTTTGAATATGAAATTTGAATTTTTGTAATATAACTTTTTTATGTTGTAAATGGGGTACACACTTGTAACTCGGTTAGGCATTTTCGATTACCCAATTGATCAAGGATGAAGGGCTTCTGATATGTGTATGTCCAACATTTGTGTATAGCTCCGCATACTGGGTGGTTGAAATGGCAACTTGCTGGAAATGGGGGCATAATGGGTTACCCTCGAACGGTGTTCTCGTGAGCAACAATGTCTAACTCGATGAGTGACACCTAAAGGGCTTGCCTCGAATAAGATCACATTACGCAACATTACAGAGTCCTACGGACCGTGGATTAATGCATAAGGATGAGGTCATCATATGTATTAACAACCTTAGTAACCTTTCTCTTATTGGAGATTAAAAGGCATTGATGGATTCGAGCCATGAAAGGGTCGTGTTGTGTGTTTCCTTAGTGATTTGAGAGTAACAGGGCAAATTTCGAGCGGATCCCTGAGTTTTCATGCGCTTGTTCAAGTGATAAATCCATTTAATCTCTTTTGACGGCTATGCACTTATGTTTATCGATTCAGATTCTCGATCAAAACTACCGTCCCCCTACATTATTTCTTAGTCCCAAAATTAAGTAAGAACTAAGAACATAAGGTAAGAATGGTGATTGTACCAATATATACGTGTGCTAAAGACACGAATGGGATCAAAACTCAATTAGTTAAAATCACGCCTAAAGATCAAAATGATGAGATTAACATGCAGCATTGGATCATTATTGTAGTAATCACATTGGAACAAGTTACAAACGAAAACTAAGGATGGGGATTAGATTATATATTGAATGAAATTCATGCCCAAAAGACACGAATGGGGGACAGTTCCTGAAATCGCTTTTTTTGACTCTTCTTCTTCTTCTTCCGGTAATTATGCCACAAACTTTTCAATTGCCTTCCAACTAGTTTGCCCCTCATCCGTCATTCCTTTCTTTTTTCTTATTATTTTTTATTAATTTTCGTTACCTTATTTATGTTTAGCCAAATTAATCCCCTACTTTTAAGTTGCCTCACAAATGACAATGTTTAAGTGTACTTTAGTACACAAAAGGACGCATTAATTTCAATCCCTTTTTTACTTTTTAGCTTTCAAGAAAGCTCGAGGCATTACTGCATTAGCATTACCCACTAAAGTCTAAACCGAGAGAAATACTGGTTGGTTTCCGGAAACAAACAAAAATTCTTTTTGGTTTCTCACCCTTTTCCCCCATTAGTTTGTATTTTTTACCCTTTAGTGAGGCAAGGCAATAGTAAAATAGTAAAAAAAAATAATGTAAAAATGCCAAAAGGGACGTTAATAAATCCACACCGACCTTCCAGTGAAGCGCCAAAGAGACACCCACATGACTCTGTTCTTTCCTTCAACCGTTTCTCTTCACTCCTCCAAATGGGAATATAATTAACACATTTTATTAAAATAAATAAATTTCGATTCATTAATGGAGGCCTGCCAATTTCTGCCTCTTGGGCTACCTTCCTTTTTTTTCCCTCCTCGATATATAGTGGCTTGAGCCTCCTCCACACACTCACAATCCCTTCTTCCTCCTTCCTTCTTTCCTTCCTCCCTCCAGCCATTTCCTTTCTCTCCCGCACCTTGGTTGTGTGCTTTATCAGAAGTTTTTAGCTGGTAATCCACAACCCACATTGCCTAATTAATCCACTCTTAAGTGTGGATTAGTGGGCGATTAAGCTACCTCTGTACATCATACAATTTTTCTCTACCTGTCTCTGTTCTTCCCCCTGTTTGAGCAGAGATAAGTGTAGCCGCCTGCTACTGCATTTACTGAAAAGTGGACGAAAGAAGGAACAACCCATTTCTGCTGTGTAATTATACAGTTATGGAGAAGTCTGCGAGGCGAATTTCAGCTGCTCCCCTCCTTCTTCTCTTCTTACTCTGCTCTCTCCACTCTGCTTTCGCCGGCCATGACTACGGCCAAGCTCTCAGCAAGAGCATTCTCTTCTTCGAGGCTCAGCGCTCTGGGTTCCTCCCCCATAACCAGAGGGTCACTTGGAGATCTAACTCTGGCCTCAATGACGGCAAAGCCAGCGGGGTAAGCTTAAAAAAAAAAAACAGTTCGGTGAGAGAAGTGAGAAATTGGGGAGTGGGAAATTTAGTCTGAAATTTTTTTTTGTTTCCAAATTTTTTTTTTTACAGGTGGATCTAGTCGGAGGGTACTACGACGCCGGCGACAATGTGAAGTTCGGCCTCCCCATGGCGTTCACCGTCACGATGATGTCGTGGAGCATCATCGAGTACGGCAAGCAGATGGCTGCCAGCGGCGAGCTTCACAACGCCATGGAAGCTATCAAGTGGGGAACCGACTACTTCATCAAAGCTCACCCGGAACCCAATGTTCTCTACGGAGAGGTAAACAAAAACGAAACACCTACTCTCAGCTCTGAGCTTCACTCTGCTTTCCGGTGAATGCTTTTTTTTTCTTGCCTTTTTCGGTAGTCACGGTAATTGATTTCCTATTTGCGTTTTTAGGGTCATTTTCAATTGGGAATTCTCTTTGGCGTATACTAATTAGTGTTTCCTGTTTGGGGGGAAATCTTGATTTTATTATATTTGTTGACTAATTTAATCGAATTTGGTTCCGATGGTTAGGTCGGCGACGGGAACACCGATCACTACTGCTGGCAAAGGCCCGAGGACATGACCACCGACCGCCGTGCTTACCGGATCGACCCGAGCAATCCCGGGTCGGATCTCGCCGGAGAGACAGCCGCCGCCATGGCCGCCGCCTCCATCGTCTTCCGCCACTCCAACCCGGCATACTCCCGCGAGCTCCTCAACCACGCTTATCAGGTAAAACATCGAATTGATCCCGCCGGAGCTGCGGCCGACACGCAACTCTGTAGCCGCGTATTTTAGTGTAGAAACGGCGTAAGTTAGCGCTGCATTAATGGCGCATGGTAACGCAGTTGGGATTTCTAGCTTTTTGGTCTGGGCTGGTCGTTGCCGCTAAGGTAGCGCCGCATTAATGGCGCACGGTAGCGCAGAACTCGAAAAATACTAATTAAAAAATTAATCAGAACCTTAAGCATGTTTTCAATTTTCATCTTAATAATTAATCATGATATTGCCTTCATTGGGTTTACCAGCCCATCACTGTGTTGCTTTCTTTGGGCCCTAAGCCCATCCTGTCAAATATGTGTGTAATTATGTTATATACCTAAGAAAATTGGTAGTATTAATTATTTCCAATTATGAGGAAACAGCATTAATTACTATCCCCTTGGCGCATGTTGCGGATCTTTTTTGGTCCGTCTATCACGGGGATTGTCTGATAACCGTACAGATCTGTTATTGCCCCTCGTTAACTAAGATCTGAACCGTCCACGTATAATTACCCGGGAAAACCGGGAATTAGTTACCCGCCAAGCCACGTGACTAGTGTCGGTGGCACTGGCCGTATTGTTTTTTTTATAACTGCCCTTCTAATTCATGTAAATTACACCACGTGCCACTGAGCAGTTTCACTTACCGAACTTCCTCTTGTTTTCTGCAGCTCTTCGATTTCGCCGACAAGTACAGAGGCAAATACGACAGCAGCATCACCGTCGCTCAGAAATATTACCGCTCCGTCAGCGGCTACAATGTCAGTAAAACTCTTCTTACACAATTTACCATCCAATTCTTTTTTTTCACCATTTTCCTGAATTTAACCTTGTTTGATCAATTTCGTGCAGGATGAATTGCTGTGGGCAGCAGCTTGGCTCTATCAGGCTTCCAACAATCAGTACTACTTGAACTACCTTGCAGCCAACGGCGACGCCCTCGGCGGAACCGGCTGGGGCATGACCGAGTTCGGATGGGATGTCAAGTACGCTGGCGTTCAGACCCTGGTCGCCAAGGTTTGTAAAACTTGTTCATGGTCACCCAGATTGAGTTATTTGGCAATTGACCTAATACTACTACGAATTCTCTGCAGTTCTTGATGCAAGGGAGAGCTGGCCCACACGCCACGGTCTTCCAGAGGTACCAGCAGAAGGCAGAGTACTTCATGTGCGGCTGCGTCGGGAAGGGGAGCAGGAACATCCAGAAGACACCCGGAGGCTTGATCTTCAGGCAGAGGTGGAACAACTTGCAGTTCGTCACCAGTGCATCTTTCCTCGCCACGGTCTACTCCGACTACCTGTCCTCGGCTCGCAAGTCCCTGCAGTGCTCTGCTGGGAATGTGTCTCCTTCCGAGCTGTTTAGCTTCGCCAAGTCTCAGGTGGACTACATTCTTGGCGACAACCTTAGAGCCACCAGCTACATGGTTGGGTATGGTAACAATTATCCTCAGCAAGTTCACCACAGGGCGTCGTCGATCGTGTCGTTCAAGAAGGACCCTAGGCCGATCAGCTGCCGCGGAGGGTATGCCACTTGGTTCAGCAAGAAATCGAGCGACCCGAACCTGTTGACAGGTGCCATTGTTGGTGGTCCTGATGCTTATGACAATTTCGCTGACCATAGAGATAACTATGAGCAGACTGAGCCTGCTACATACAACAATGCACCTCTTCTGGGTATTCTTGCTCGTCTTGGTGGCGGACATGGAGGCTACAACCAGCTCCTCCCTGGTAATGACATGAAGAAATGATCTCTCTTTGTACTTTGGAAATGAGTCGTGGACATGGTTTTTTGATTGGTGTTGTTTGGTTTTTTGTTTTGGTTCTGCAGAAGTTGTTGTTCCTGCTCCACGGCAGCCCACTAGAGCTCCAGCTGCCAGACCTGTTACCCCTGCTCCAGGTAATTCAAATTCTGCCCTTCTGATTCTTCTCTAATTGGTTAAGAACATTTCGTGTCCATTTGCTAACATTCGACGATTCTCGCTGCTTCTGCTGCAGTTTCGACTTCTGCAGCACCTATCGCCCTTGTTCAAAAGGTGACTGCTTCGTGGAAATCTGGAGGCAAAACTTACTACAGATACTCCACCATTGTGACCAACAAGTCACCCAAGGCACTGAACAGCCTCAAGCTATACATTAACAAGCTCTACGGTCCGATCTGGGGGTTGACGAAATCGGGGAACTCTTATGGTTTCCCATCATGGATCAAGTCACTGCCTGCTGGGAAAAGCCTTGAGTTTGTCTACATTCATTCTGCTTCTCCTGCAGATGTCTCTGTTTCAAGCTACACATTGGCCTGAAGAAGAAGGTACACAAGGGTTGGAAAGCAAAACCAAAGATGATTTACGGCATTGTGAATTGCAGTAACTGTGCAGCTATATATATACTTTCTGGAAGAACGACAAAAGGATTTGCAGGCAGGGGAGGTCCAAATTTTTGTTTTGGTTGCCTTCCCACCTCCTTTCTCTTTACGTTTTTACTATATTATTATGGGTTCTTCTCTGCAACTTATTGTGTTGAAGATTGGAGGATGAAAGGAGCGAAGGGACGACTGTTTGAAGGACGAAAGAAGAAGTGCTCATCCTCTTTCACCCTCCTGCTTCACTGCTACACACTCGTGTCTGTCATTGTTGTTATATAGGTCGTCTATCTATATATAGGGGTTTTGAGAGAAAAGGGGAGAATGATTTGTTTGGTAGTGAGTGAGAAGTACGGGGAGAAGAAAAAGGCTTCTCTCGACTTCTCAAATTGCTGTTTGCAGAATTGTCTTTTGATTACCTTTTCAGCTTTCTGGTCTTTGTTTCGTTGTTGTAAGCTCTGCAACACCACTTTTTGAGGTTTGTGAAGATTTACTTTGTGGTAATCAAACATTGTGGTGACTCTCGTTTCTTGCCCGGCGCTCTAATCCAAGCAGCTAATTCGGTAGAGCTAGCTCAAGTGGCGTGAATGTTGGGCCTGCTGCTTTTCTTGTCGCGATTCAGGGTTCGAAATTTGGCTTCTACGCTCTCCTTGCTTGTATCCCCACAGGTTGGTTTTAAGCGAGAGTCTTGTGATGAGTGGCTATCCAGCACGGTTTGGTTGATGTGCCTCTTCATTTCTACCGCCGCTAGGCGAAGTTTGCCTCCTACGACTCGCCTTGCTTTGCTCCATTGTTGTAAGCTTGACAACACACTTTGAGGTTTGAGAACTACATTGTTTGTCTCTGTGGTGGAAAAATATTTGACCCGTAGTAATTTGGGGTGGGGTGCAAGTACTACTTTTGTCCTGTCTTTGTAGTGTCATTTTATTTTAATTTGTCTCGGTACCTATTTATTTAACATATTTTGACTTATTTCAATTCATATTTCCTCTGAATGATACTTTAAACAAGTATAAGACTTCATCTTTCAATTATTGAAGTCAATGAATTTATGTATTATCTCTATTTTTCAGTTATGAGCTTTTTTTTTTCAAATAATATATATCAAAATGAATTGATCTACCCTAATTTGATGCACACTTAACATGAGACGAAATCTTACCCCATGTGATCTGCATTTAAAATGAGACGGATATGAGTATTGAAATACCGCTAATCGCCATAACTAGATGTAGATGTGATGGCTAATTCCTCGTACTCGTCTTCCACACAAAGGCGTGGAGATTGTTGGATGCTTCCTGGACTTTAAAAGACGTGAGATCACTCAAAACAAGTCGTGGGCCTAAACTACACAAGGCCCGCCAGAAAACTCGACATAGTTTATCAGCCTAAAGCCCGTTTTCAATTTAAATCCAAAGTTGTAAATCAGTGAGCAGCCGTTTGACTCTAGGCTTCTTCTCCCTCAACTGAAGCCACAAACCCGTTTTGCCTCCTCATCGAGGATGGAAGTGTTTTGTCAATAAAAAAAAAATCGAGGATGGAAGTATATTAAGAAATTTCCCCTTAAAAGTGTTCGAAAAAAACCCTAGGAAGAACCACAACAAAGATAGAATTATGCTGAGAAAATTTACAAATAGTGTAGTATTATGTTATATTATGATTACTGTTATGTAATTGGATAAAGTTATATTCCTTATCAGAGTAGTAGTAAAAGTTAGTTATTTTCCATATTAGTGTTAGGATTATTGCAGAAGTCAGTTCATATCCTATATAGTCTTATATTAACTCTGTGTTTAGTTTTCAGTGAACCATTGCAATAGTTGGAGTGGAACCATCCATTTGAAGAGTTGTCTCGCTCTTCGTACGCACACACCTTTTCATTTTCTATAAATAACACCAAGCTCCTATATCTTTTTATACGTTCTGCCGTAATTTCGACGCGCGCCGTGTCAAGCCATGAAGCCATTGTGGAAGAATCACAGGCGCCGCCATACAATCAATCAAAGGTTAATTACTTACTACTACTTGGCCTACTTGGCCATCGGTACTTGAGTGACGCAAACCAACAAAATTAACCCGCCACTTGCTTACATACTCGTCATTTTCGGGAACTTGATCCTCGATCAGAGATTTGTTGGAAACGCCATGCCAGACCTTTTTGTGGAATTCATCAAGTCGAGCTCTTCAAATCCCCCAAAGGCCAGGCTCTCGCCTACAAGCAAAAAAAAGGGTTTTCTGTCTTGACCCTCCCTCATGTCTTGTTGTCGATTAATTGTGGCATTTTACTTGGAGGGCAAGTCCGAAATCTGAACGAGGTTTTATAAATTTTTTTGGTTTTGAGGGATCTGAACTTTTGTAATTTGGAGAGGGGTTAGTGTCATGAACCAGTTGATCCCCACTAATTCGAATTGTTGAGTGAAGATTATGTCGGATCTTATACCATTCTCTAACGGTTAGTGCCTTATCAACTAGTTTATTTCAAATTTCATTACACAATTTGAAATTTGATCGGGGCTATATAGTCCTTCATGAATATAACGTGACTTGCCACTGACCATAACCTACACAATTTGGATGACACAAAATGTAAATACGTAGGATTTAAATTGTAAAACTAGGTTTTAACTATATTAATTTGCAAAAAAAAATGATATTAATTGTGGCATTTATCTTAATTAATTTAGAAGAAAGTTTCGCACTCATTATTAGTATAAATCATAGTTAGTAAAATACGGTACGGGAAAGTTACGTAAAAAATACGTACGGGTATTTTACGTCGTCTCTAAGCTAAAGCTACGTTTAATAGTACGTTAATAGTAATAAATATATAAAAATAAATTATTTTAAAAATAAATAAATATAAAAATAATAGTAAAGTTCACAATTTAATTCGTTAAATACGGATATTAAACGTGTTATACGGGTTTTATACGTGTTTAGTACGGGAGCCATCCAATGAACGGAAAAAAATGAAACGGCTTGACAATAATACGGATACGGAAGTTTTAAACGGATAAAGTACGTACGGGTACATATACGTGTATTAAACGGAGTATTTACTAACTATGGTATAAATTACTCATTAATATATTTTATCTATATAAGTGATTACTTACTATATGGACTATTTAATAATTCATTTCAGTTCTGCCGTGATGTAATAATATCGTCACAAAAACAAATACTCAATTGAAACGGAGAAACAAGAACTTGCTTTACATAGTCTCGTCATTTTCGGGAACTTGATCCTCCTGAGAGATTTGTTCGAAACGCCATGCCAGACCTTTTTGTGGAATTCATGAAGTCGAGCTCTTCAATCCCCCAAAGGTCAGGCTCTCGCCTACAAGCTAAAAAAGGGTTTTCTGTCTTGATCCTCCCTCTTGTCTTGTTGTCGATTAATTGTGGCATTTGTCTCAGGGTTGTTTGGTAAGCACGTATTGTAGAATTCATGTATTTGAAAAATTCATGTATATTGTAGGTTGAGTTGTGAGAATTTGTGTAATATTAGAATGCATTGTTTGGCTTGCATGAGTTCATGGTAGAACCCACATAATTTGGCATGAAATCTCAAATACTTTGGGTAAACCCAAAGCATTTGAGATATCATGGTCACATGAATTCTAGAATTACATGGTGCATCAATATCATGATATCTGTCCAAAAATGAAACAAGAAAAAACAGTGGAATCTCAGATATCATGTAATCTTGAAATCTATGGGTAGATTACATGCTTACCAAACGACTTAATTAATTTAGAAGAAAGTTTCGCACTCATTATTATTATTAGTATAAATTACTCATAATATGTTTTATTTGTAGGTGAGTACTTGCTACTTGGACTACTTAATAATTCATTTCAGTTCCGCCGTGATGTAATATCGGCACAAAAACAAATGCTCAATTGAAATGGAGAAACATTTTTGTGCGATGCACATATAACATAGCTTCGGTATGCAAACCCGCCACCTGAACGCTGCGTGGATATGTTATGGCCTGATTCAGTTTCTTCAGAACTAGGAGACAAGAACTTGCTTTTATACTTGTCATATTTGGGAATTTGATCTTCAAACATACTTGTTGGATACCTTCGTAAAAAAATTATATCATATTATAACAGTTTCAAAGAATTGTGAAAAGTCCTGTTCTATAATTATATGGTCAAAATTTTAAATATACTAAAATGTAGTGGTGGAGCTAGAAATATTAATAGGGGGCTAAAAATTTACATTTAAAAAGGATTCGAACCAGAGAAGGAGGCTAAAGTCTTATCACCTGCTTCTTTCCAAATTTGTTGCGAAATTAATACGTAAATTTACACAAATTTGAGAGTTAAGTGGGGCTATAGCCCCTCCAGCCAATAGGGATGACAATGGGTCGGGGGCGGATAGTGTATATCCGTTACCCTACCCAAAGGAGTTCGGGTTTTACCCATACCCATATCCACATAATAAATGGGTAGAAAATCAAAATCATGCCCATACCCGTTCGGGTTTCGGGTATCCACGATTATCCATGGATAATAATTTCTCTTTATAACTTCAACAAATATGTTACCATTCACACATATTCTCACATTACGTAAGCGTAAAAGTACGAGAATAATTCACTAGAATGAAAAAAATTCATTAAAAAATACAATTTCACGAAAATATTATATTTATATGCTAAATATAAAATACATTAGAGAAAATTAATGATTATTTATAGAAAAATACATATGCATGTTATAATCGGGCGGGTTCGGGTTGGATAGTGAGAAAACCACGCCCACCCATTACCTACAATATTCTGGTTCGGGTTTTACCCTACCCGATTAAGTCGGATTTGGGTGGATATCCACTGTTACGGATATTTTTGCCATCCTACCTGCCAATAAGTGCTCAGCCACTGCTAATATGAAAATGGGCTAGTCTCATTATTTACACTAAAATTTGAAATAAAGTTGCATATTAAAATGGGCTACATCATTAAGAAGAAGAAAAAAAACATCAAGGCCCCGTTTGGATAAGGGTTTCATATGAGGGATTTTAAAACAATCTCTCACAATTAGGGATTTTAATAAAATCACTTGTTTGGCAAAAACATAAACAATGAGAGATTTTAATAATTAGAGATTTGAGAAACCCTTAAACGTGGGTTTTTGAAATAGCTAATGGCCACCAGCTATTTCGAAATCTCTCATTTTTATATTTTATTTTCCAACCGTTACCCTTTCTTTCTTCTATCTGCAGTTCGTCGTCGACCCATTCAACACTAACACTACCCAATGTCGTCCGTTGCCCAAGAGTTGCGGTACTGGTCCTCACCCAATTCTTCCCATCACGTCGAGATATTCTTCCCACCCAAACCTGGTCCCCGTCGGCGATTCCTTCCCACCGCCGCCTGAAAATTTGAGCGCCGCCCAAACTGGTCTCTCGTCTTCGATTCCTTCCCACCATCACATGGAATTTGAACATCGACGCCAAACCTGGTCACTCGTCGTCAATTTCTTCCCACCGCCGCCTGGGATTTGAACGTTGCCCCAATAACAGCGGCATTCTTCAATTTCTTCCCACTGTCTCCTGGTTAAGCTCGGCGATCCTCCCTGTAACAGCGGCAACGAAGAAGAAGAACCATGAAACCCCGAGACGGTGGCAGATTTAGAGGAGGACGAGGCGGTGGTCGAGCAGGCGGTGGCCGAGGTTTGCGTTGCGGGCGTGGCAGCGGTGGACGATGATGCTAGGAGCAGCTGTGATTATGCTTGGTGTAGGGTTGCTAATTGATGTTTCTGAAGGGGAGGGATAGTTGGTGGGGACAAAAACAAAAATGGAAGGGAAGCAGTGGTCTTGCAGGTAGGGATGTCAATCCAATCCGTAATCATGGGTACCCTATCCGACCGTAACCGGTCAACGAGGGTAATTATCCGCTTTGACTGGTTAAGGGGCGGGTATGGGTAATACCCGGTTTCAAAATAAAGGGTAGGGTACGGGTAAGGTAATCGATAATACCCGCCCCGTTATACCCGCCCCGCAACCAAAGAGTCAATTTTCCATGAGAAATTTAGATTAGCTTGAGAAATTGAGTTTAGCTACCATTATTGATGATGAAGATGTAGACGATTATTATGTTTGTGTGGATTGTAGAAGCAAGAACAATTATTATGTGTTTGCTATTTTTATTTGTGTGGATTGTTGAAGGTAGAACAGTTACAAGTATTGAGAATTTTTAATGGACAACAGTATGTATATGCACATATGTGTATAAGTTCATAGTTTAGGATTCGTACCCATTGTTACCCGAATACCCGTGGTTACCCGGTGGGTAGGGTATGGTTATATAATTTTCATACCCGGTGGTTATTTGGTCGGGTATTTTAGAAGGCTCTACCCGGCGGGTTAGGAGTTGGTATAGGATAAACCCGCACCCGACCCTACCCATTGCCATCCCTACTTGCAGGTAGGGATGGCAATTATGCCCATACCCATGGGTATTTTACTATCCAACCCAATTGGGTTGGGTATGAAATCCAAATATATGGATATGGGTAAAGTTTGATGGGTTTGTACCCATACCCATTTACTTTGGGTTGGGTTGGGTTTATAACAAATGGATTTGGGTTTGTACCCATGCCCAAATACAAATTACAGTTTGGTACCTAAACTTAATAGATATGCATATTTAGTACCTAAATTTAATTTTTTTTGCATATAAGTCCTCAAAATATCGATGGAAAATTACGTTTTGGTACCTAAATTTTTTTGGTCTTACATTTTGGTACCTAAATTTTTCAAGTTTTACAAATAAGTCCAATTTTTGCATGTGTAGTTAAAACACCCTCAAGTAAATGGATATCCATATCCAACCCATACCCATTTAGATAATATCCATATCTAACCCAAACCCATATACAAACCCCAAACCCATACACACATCACCCAAACCCACCCATAATAAATGGGTCTACTTGGGTTTGGGCAAAATTACCCATGGGTGGGTAAATTGCCATCCCTACTTGCAGGGACAAAAAATCAAGTGGGTGTCGGTATATGTGCTTGCTAAGAAATCACTGGGTCGGGAGCAATAATAGATTGGTTGAAGAAGACGATTTCTGGGTTTCACATTGTTGTTCTTGCCGATAACAAAGATCACCAGAAACAAATGGGGTAAAACTGTCTTTTTCCTTTCTAGCGTGAAAACCCTCATTAGCTTCCAAACGAGTTAATTTGGACAATTCCTGCCAATAAAATTCCTGGTATTTTAAACGAGTGATTTGAAGTTAAATCTCTCACAAATCTCTCATATTAAAACCCCTCATCCAAACGACCCCCAAGGGGTTTTTAGCTGGATGGATTTGGTGATGTACTTGGTGATGGATTTTGATTCATTATTGATTTTGTCCAAATTGTTTGCTTCATGTATTTAGAGATAACAAATCCGTGGGTCCCATGAACTTTAAGGGTCCAAATCCATGGACCCCAAGGACTTGAAAGTTTGAACTCTTTAGTTGGGAATTGATAATGGACCTTAGTCCATCATTTAAGACCAAACTACCCCTCATGTTTCATTTCTCTTGTCATACCAATGAGGGCAATAAACGAAAATTTCACTTCATATATACAAAATCTAATTAACCAATTCTATCATGAAATTGAAATCTATAAATCAAACAATGATATTTTTCAAATCCATAATAAATCCAAAATCTTCATATATTCATAGTTTTACAAAAATCATAATTTTACTAAAACCTTCGATTTTCGAATCCACAAACCAAACGACTCGGCAAATATATTTTACATCTCGTCCATTCAAAAGCCGAAACACTAGTGAGTCAAAGGAGGCTTTTTGCCGTTTCCTTACATTCCTTCCCGCCAGCGCGCCCTCCGATATGACTAAGCCATCCTCACTCAGAAACGCTGCCGCCACGTATGCAACATATTTCAATCTCAGCCGTCCACTTCTTTCGCCTCGCTCCACATGGCGCCACATCAGCAAAACCCTTTTCTCCTCTCACCTCTATTTAAATCCACTAGACCCAACTTGCTCGTCGTTCTGCGATCTTCTTCAAAGCCCCTGTTCAAAACAAAAAAAAAATCCTATTAGAAAAAAAAAAAAAACAAACATATTCCCTCTTCTGCAATTTGCAATGGTCTCATCGTTTCATCTGGCCAAGAAGACGAAGACTGCCCGAACCCAACCGAGGAACAAACCCATCAAAACGACGCGTCGTTTGAAGGAAATGGAGATCAGGCATCTGTCCTCCGACGACCCTGAAGTCGAAGCCGCTGCTGAGGAATCACTCGCAGCATCCATCCCCAAAAGCACGACGCCGGCGGCGGCGAGCCTTTCGCACGGATTGGTATCGATTATTGGCCGGAAGAGGACGCTGTCGGACGCGACGGCGGCGGTGCCGCGGCTGGAAATTGGCGGGTTCGGGAATTCCTTCGATTTCTTCGCCGTCTACGGCGGCGCCGGCGCCGGCGTGTGCCAAACCACGATGCATCTCACGGTGGCAATGGAAGCGGACAGGATGAGAGGGGAATTCTGCAGGGGATGGGAATACTGGAACAGAGTGATGGGCAGCAGCTTTCAGAAGATGGAGGACGAGGTTCGCGACGACGGCGGCGGCGGCGGTGGGGGGAAATCTGGGCGGTGGACGGCGGTTGTGGTGATGGTGGGGAAGGAAGAGCTAGTGGTGGCTGAGAGTGACAACATCGCCGGAGAAGATTGTAGAGCTGTTCTGTTTCGCGGTGGAGTTGCCCTGCCCCTGTCGCGTGGTGATCAAAACAGAGTAAAGTCCGATGATCTCTCAACCCTCTCAAAACGCAAGATCAGAAGAAGAAGAAGAAATCGGCGAATTGGGTTCGGATGCCGGAATCCGCACATCAAATTCCATCCAATTCTCGAACGAATTCGGTCTCTCTCCATTTCGACTAGTTCTAGGCACAGACGTCGTTTGCACGATGTAATTCCTCTTCTCTGCAAAATGGCTCTGATTTAGTTTCCATTTCCCGCCCTGATATTGTTTTGACTCATCTTTCGCTTGCGTTTGAATCCTTTTTGTCACGATCAGCCGGCGCCGGAGGCAGAGCGAAAACAGGGGAAGGGCATAAGTTGGAAACTCAACCGCGACATCAATGGAGTTATTGGTGCAGGAGATACTAGTGATCGTGATCGCCATCATCGGGTGAAGCCGGCGGTGACAGTTAGGGAGCGGGGAGAATCAATGGGGGAATTCGTGGTGATCGGATCGAAAGGGTTGTGGGATGTGGTCTCTGATGAGCTAGCCGGAGATATGGTCGCGAAATGTTTCAACGGCGGAATGAGGATGAGGTTTGCCGACGAGACGACGGAGAACTGTGCATCGGCGGCGGCGGCTTTTCTGGCGGAGCTGGCGGTGGCGCGAGGGAGCAAGGATAATGTCAGTGTCATAGTCGTCGAGCTGTAGCTATATATAGTTAGAAGTAGATTTATTTTTATTTTATTTTAAGTTTTGGTACGCGGAAATTGGAGTGAGATGGATGTTTAGAAATTAGAAGGGAAGGTTTTTTCATCTTATTGTAGTTTGTTTGGATTGTGTCGAATAGAGTTTTGATTCTAGTTTGGGCTGAGTTTGTTAATAAATAAGTCAGGTTCAACCTCGTTTTATATTAAAATTATGTCTCGTGTTAGATTTGAGTTTGCATTTAGTACTTTTGGTATTGTCGTTATGTAGGTCTATCTATATATATATAAGGGGGTTTGAGAGAAATAGAGAGTGATTTGTTTGGAAGTGGGTGAGAAGTATGAAGGAGTAAAAGATGTCTCTTGACTTCTCAAATTGTGGTTTGAACGTCTTTGTTACTCTTAATGTCATAGTCTTTTTGTCTTTGTTTCATTGTTGTAAACTTTACAACAGTTTTTTTGTGGTTTGTGAAAAAGGCTAACACTCTAATCACAACAGGTTAAAAAATGTTAGCTATCCTTCGATTCTGTGTTAATCGTTCACTTTCTTTCTAAATAGTACGACAATTTTAGCGTCAAATTTAATTTCAAATGAGTGCTCGTTCAACCTCTAACTAAACAACTATGTTGCAGCTTGCAAGTGACCTTTGATTTCGAGTGACTAGCATAGGTAACTTTCAAGTTGAACTTAAAGATAGATGATTTTAGGTAGATTACATTGATCAGTAAGGGCTTTGTACAAAGATGTGGTAATAAATAAGCGATAAATTTTGTTTTCGATGAAGTTGTGTACTAGACTTCTTGGTCACAAGACAAGTAGACAACATAGAGATGCAGCCACAATGTAGAGTGTGGGTCATGTGAGGTGAACATGTAAGCTTGCTTCTTGGAATTTCGTGATTATGAATGGAATTTAGGAATGACAAAAATATATGTAATTGTGGATATCCGCATGAATTCGGCTTAATCGGGTAGGGTAAAACTCGAACTCGAAAGACATTTAGTGGGTACGGGTAAAACCCGAACCCGAATATTGCGGGTAATGGGTGGGCATGGGTTTATCATTATCCAACCCGAACTCGCCCGATTATACACATGCATATGTATTTTGTCTAGAAAAATCATCATTATTTTCCTCTAACATAGTTTATATTTAGCATATAAGTATAATATTTTACATGAAATTGTGTTATTTTAATTAATTTTCTTTATTATAGTGAATTATTGTCGTACTTTTCCTCTTACGTAATGTGAGAATACGTGTGAATTTCAACATATTGATTGGAGTTATGAAGAGAAATTACAATCCATGGATAACCGTGGATACCCGAAACCCGAACGGGTATGGGCATGATTTTGATTTTCTACCCGTTTCACATGTGGATATGGGTAAAACATCAACTACTTTGGGTAAGGTAACGGACATGCACTATCCGCCCCCGACCCGATCCATTGCCATCCCTAAATTGGACTTACCACTAAGAAGAAGCCGTGGGCTTAAACTACATGGAAGGCCCACCTCAAAGCTCCATCCACCCAATTCGCCAGCCCTTGAGCCCAGCCTGTTTGAATGTTAACCTCGCGTTGCAAAATCAGTGGAGCTCGGCCCACTCCAATCTGTGTGCAGCCGCTTGACTCCTTCTCCCTCTACTGGAGTACGGTCATCCTCCTCTATGCTGGCGTTTGCTTATTTAGGGTTTATCTATAAAGAATTTGTCTATCCCCCGATCTAAATCTCATCATCCTTCCTATGATCATATAAGCAATGACAGAATTTCAATAATAGAAAATACAACGCGGACCGAATAATAAAAAAAATATACTTTTTTTTAAAATATTCGAACGTGCCAATTAGGGGTGGGAACCGTTTACCGAATTTACCGGTTTTGGTATACCGAGGGTGGCCAAACTGTTTACCGTTTACCGATACCGGTTTGTAACCGGTTTACCGATTACTGAATTACCGGTAAACGGTTACAAACCGGTTTACCGAATTACCGCAAAGGACGACGTGGGGCGGTTTTCCGGGTCGCCGTCGGCGGGGATGTTTGGGTTTCTGACTTACCTCCAAGTCGCCGAGGGAAGGGAGAGGGTTTCAGGGCCAGGTCGCCGTCGGCGGGGAAGCGGGAAGGTGGAGGCGGGGAAGCGGGGCCGTCGGCGGGGAAGTGGGGCCGTCGGCGGGTTTCAGGGTTTCAGTGCTGGTCACGCGTCGCGGCGTCGGCACTCGGCGAGGGAAGGGAGACTGGGAGGGTGAGGGATTCAGGGCCGTCGTCGTCGGCAGCAGGAGCAGCGTCCGGCGAAGAGGAGAAGAGGAGAGGTGGCTGCGGCGCTACGCGGGGCTGCTCTCTCTGAACTGGCAATTTTGAAACGAAGAAGGAAGGGTGGCGGCTGCTCTCTCTGCTGGGCATAGTTAGTAAAATACGGTACGGGAAAGTTACGTAAAAGATACGTACGGGAATTATACTTCATCTTTAAGCTAAAATTACGTTTAATAGTACGTTAATAGTCATAAATATATAAAATTAATCATTTTAAAAATAAATAAATATATAAATAATAGTAAAGTTAACAATTTAATTCGTAAAATACGGATAATAAACGTGTTATACGGGTTTTATACGTGTTTAGTACGGGAACCATGAAATGAACGGGGGAAAATGAAACGGCTTGACAATAATACGGATACGGAAGTTTTAAACGGATAAAGTACGTACGGGTACATATACGTGTATTAAACGGAGTATTTACTAACTATGCTGCTGGGTGGGTATTTTTTAGAACTAGGGTTGAAATCTTTGCCAAATAAAACGACGTCGTTTTGGGTTCGGTATCGGTATTACCGATTTACCGTCGGTATTTACCGATACCGGTTTCGGTATACCGACCCACCCAATTCGCCGCTCGACTGCCGATACCGTTGGTAAACGGTTTACCGTTTACCGCCGGTAAACGGTTCGGTAAAACGGTAAATCGTTTACCGGCGTACCGAATCCCACCCCTACCAATAACTTCGAATTCTAATTAAGAAATTACATTGATAGCCTCTGCTCGTGCTCTAGCTCGTTACAGTGTTAGATTTGTCTCGATTATTATTCGTCTCTTGCCATCAGTTGTCCATCGACTACGTACGCGACCGACCTGATCTTAGGCCCTAACTCGCTCTCCGTGGACGAATCTTACAGAGGAACATTTAGATTTATTTTTTCCCGAGCATTGCATTCTCACCAATGCTTGGCGTTACATGATATTTTATCATGATCTTGTGGTTTGGGAGCAGCCGTGATAGCCAAGCTCTATGGTACAATGTATCGAGCTAAGAAAGAGAGGAAAAAAAAAAAACGGACCTGATTGGAGTGGAGGCACTAGGCAGTGACGTTAGACGCTTCTGAATACAATATTATTGAATATTTGTACATTGGACTCGGAATATCAAGATTCAAGTGGGCAATTAATTGATCACAAGCCATTGGTCCAATGGACACGTACGTCAGACTTGAAAAGGATTTTGTCCCGCTTAAACTATTTGCATTGCTTCATATTCATACGTGGCTGGAATTTGGACAGCGTGTCAAACCATGCAGATTTTTTTCTTCCCCATGAAGAATCACATGGCGCCGCCACAAAATCAGCAAGGCCAAATGTGTAGAGGTCCAAAATCCATGCGATGTATATTACATGGCGATAGTTGGCAATACAATTTCCATTTGGCGCGTTTTGATACGAGCTAACATCGACGAAGGTATATGGGGTTTTGAAATTCGAAGGATCTTACTAAAACTCTACGCGTATCTAAAGGGCTTAAACTCGTTTGCCCCGTTTTCTCCCCCCAAAGTGAGTTCCTAAAACGTAACCCCTTTTTCTCAAGAAGCGGCTCAGCCACTACGTGTGAGACATATTAACAACAAGATTCGAAGAGTAGTAAAGCAACGCTCATTTCTCTGCACTTAGACTATCAACGAATAACGGTTTAGGAAAAGTATCAATATTAGGATTGCTTTCTTCATCACCAAATCCAGTATAAAATACAAGATTTTTACTAACATATGACTGTACTCTGTACATTACCCCAATTATACACAACGATGCAATGAACCAGGAGAACAGCACAAAATGAGGCCGGTGGCCGTGACTACACACTACAGGCCAGTGGCCACCACAAAAATAGAAGCGGCCACGTCGTCCATCCAGGCAACTAGCCTGGCGCAGTGGCGCTAGTGACGGCAATGGGGCGAGGTGGGTACCTCAATTCCCATGCCCCGTCCCACGCTACTACGGGTCGGGGCGGGTAAAATTCGCGCGGGTACGGGGCGGGTCGACCCATTCTTACATGTTGTTAAAAAAAAAACAAGTAAATTTTACTTTTTACAATAAAACGTAGGGAAAAACACTTTAAGAATGAAAAATATTGATAATAGAATGGATAATTGAGCCTAACAAGTTGAAAGATCGACTCTAACTAGTTGAAGAAAAGTCAAAATAGGAGAAATATGTATAGATATTGTAAGAAATTGAGATAAAATGAGTCTAGAACGGGGCAGGGCAGGGCGGGTCGGAAGTAGATACCCATGCCCCGCCCCCACGCTACTGCGGGTCGGGTAATACCCGCCCCATCGCTGGTCAGGTCGGGTAATACCCGCGGGGCGGGTTGAAATTGCCATCACTACCTGGCGCCAGCCATTTTGTGGTTTAAATTTAATCCTTTATTTTTTTTAACCCCATCCTTCCTTCAAAACAAGGTTGTCAAACCGGTTTAAATCATTGAATTGGTCAAGCTAGGAAATTGAGATTTAATGGTCTAATCGGGGTTTGGCTGTTTTGAGCCGTTATATATATATAGTGGCGTCTTCGGTGCACTCACTTTTTTTGGGTGAATTTAGGTGCACTCGCTTCATAACTGTCATTTATACATGTGATTTATGTCAAAATGATGTCAATCATCACTTATTATGTGATGAACAATAACGCACATGAATTTTAATTTGAAGGATTTAGAGTTTAGATATTTAGGGTTAGGGTTTACAATTTGGGGTTTAGGCATAGAACTCAAAATTGGATGTCTAGGGCTTAGAGTAATCTGCTAGTTGTTATCATATGTTATATCATCATATTACACTAATTTTACAAATTAAAATTCAAAATCCGACACTTTAAAACTAGTTTTTGAGTTGGGTGCATTGAATGCACTCATTTTTGTGGTTTAGAGATTTAGGGTTAGGGTTTAAAATTTGGGGTTTAGGCATAGAACTCAAAATTGGATGTCTAGGGCTTAGAGTATTCTGCTAATTAGTTGTTATCATATGTTATATCATCATATTACACTAATTCTACAAATTAAAATTCAAAATCCGACACTTTAAGACTAGTTTTTGAGTTGGGTGCATTGAATGCACTCATTTTTTTGAGTGTACCGAAGCTGTCACCATATATATTTATATATTAAAAAATAGTAATTAAAGATTTAATAAATAAAATGAATTTTATCTTACATGTATATATTAAAAACTTATTTTTCACAAAATAAAGTTACCTAATTTTCCATGATCCACCTACCATCTTCCTTCTTTCGTTCATCTTCCTCTTTAGAGATTAGACCCGGAACTTTCTAAAAGTCGCTTTGAAGCCCGATTTAAATCTGATCGGGTCCAACCGGAAACCCGATAGAGGTTTAAGCTTCAAAAAATCCAAGCACGTTAGTCAGTCAGATTCCAGGGTTTCTGTTTGCCGCTCTTTTCCTCACTCGCAATTGCTGCAGCCACGCCACGTATGCGCCATGTTCCAATCTCAGCCGTCCACGTGTTTCCCCCTCGCATCTGGCGGTTCCCGCCACCACATGACGCCACCTCAGCATCCGCCCCTCCCCTCGCCTTTTTTTTTTAAATCCCCGAGACCCAGCGAGCTTGCTCTTTCTTCAAAATACTTTTTTTTCTTCTATGGGGATTTCTAGGAGAGGAAAACTGAACTGCGCGGAGAAGGGAGAGAATTAAACCACTGATTCTTCCTCTCAATTCTGCGGAATCGGAATGGTTTCTTCTTCGCCATTTGATCCGGCGAAGAAGGCGAAGAACGTCCGAACCCAATCGAAGAACAATAGCATCAAAACGACGCGTCGTTTGAATCAAATGGAGACGACCCAGCACCCGTTAGATCCGGTCGCCGGAGCCGCTGCTGAAGAATCACCACCCGTGGCATCCGTCCCCCGAAGCAGGACGACGCCCGGCGTGGCATCGGTGGTCGGACGGGCTAGGACGATGACCGACGCCGTGAAGGTCGTGCCGCTGCTCGAAATCGGCGGGTTCGAGAATCAATTCGATTTCTTCGCCGTCTACGGCGGCGGTGGCGCCGCCGCCGCCTGCGAAGCCGGGTTGCATCTCACGGTGGCGACGGAGGCGGAGAGCATGAGAGGTAGCAGCAGCGCAGCAGGGGAATTCTGCAGGGGATGGGAATACTGGAACAGAGTGATGAGTAGCAGCTTTCAGGAGATGGAGGACGAGATTCGCCGGGCGGCGGCGGAGGAATCCGATGGGAGAGGGAGGAAATCTGGACGATGGACGGCGGTTGTGGTGATGGTGGGGAAGGAAGAGATAGTGGTGGCTGATAGCAATAGCATCGCCGGAGATTTTAGAGCTGTTCTTTATCGCGGCGGAGTTGCCCTGCCTCTATCGCGAGATGATGGAAACAGAGTAAAGTCCGGTGATCTCTCAAATTGCAAAAGGAGGAGAAGAAATCGGCGAATTGGGTTCGGTTGCCCGCGTCCACACATCAAATTCCGTCCAATTATAAAACGGATCCGGTCTCTCTCCATTTCGACTTCTTCTAGGCTCAGTCGCCATTTGGACAGAGTAATTCCTCTCTTCCATTCCTTAAAAGATGAGATCAGAAAATGAAATTCAGCGAAATTCAATCTTTGTGGGACCTTCTTCAAAATGCTCCAAGTTCCCCTTTCTCCCCTTGTGTTGATTGATTCTTGTGCGTGTGTTTGAATCCTTTTGTAACGCAGCGTAATGATCAGCCGGCGGCGGCGGAGCGGAAACAGGGGAAGGACAGTACTGGGAACATCAACAGTGACATTGTTGGAATTATTGGTACGAGCTAATACTCTGCTGTCTGTCAGAAATTCTGGCTAATTCGTTCATAATGCAGGAGATCGTGTTCGTCATCGCCGAGTGAAGCCGGAGGTGACAGTTACAGAGCGGGGCGAATTGTCGTCGGAGGAATTCGTGGTGATCGGATCGAAGGGGTTGTGGGATGTGGTCTCGAATGAGCTTGCCTGTGATGTCGTCGCGAAATGCTTCAGTGGGGGGATGAAGATGAGATTTGCCGACGACACGACGGAGAACTGCGCGGCGGCGTTTCTGGCGGAACTGGCGATGGCTCGAGGGAGCCCGGATAATGTCAGTGCTATAGTTGTGAAGCTGTAGTAGGTGGAATAAAACAGAGGTACGGAGAGGCGTTAGTCGTTGGAGTTTTTTATTTTTTTTTTTACAATAAGCAATCTTTTATTCCATCCGAAATTGGGAAAACCGTGGTCACATTACAGGAGTGGAGCAATAATATTGACAATTAAAATCCAATCCACTGATAACGATCCCGCCCTAGCATGTCGTGCCACTCAATCCGCTAATCGATTCAAACGTCGAGGAACAAACTCAACACGAATCGATGGTGCAAGCCTGAGAAGGAGAACCATCTGTGCAATGGTAGCCCGACACATCCATTTGTTATTTTAAGTTGTTCTTGGTAGATTCTTTTGTTATTTTAAGTTTTGTTATGTGAGAATTGGAGGGAGATAATTGTACAAAGGGAAGGTTTTTTTTAATCCTATTGTAGTTTGTTTAGACGTGCGGTTTGAGGTTTAAGTCATAAAGTCGGTTTGATAAGTAGTTAGAGGTTGGTGGTCGGATCAGGTCCAATTAGTTCAAATTGATTTTAACATAATAAAGTCTAATTTTAAATAAATTATATATTTTTGGAATAATCTCACTAATCTACACATATATTATCAAATATATATTTTCAACTGAATTATATATCACAAAATTATTAACCCTCTTCTTCAAACTCAACTTTGATTGGTTGAACATGGTTTTGACTAGTCAGATCATTAAAAATTAATTGGCTTAACCCATTTTTAACACGTTTAACGCGATTTTTACTTTTTTAGAAATCGTCCAATGTAATCCAATCAAGTACACGACCGATTCTGATCGGACCCTGTTGAACCGCCCGACTAGATACTGGTTAGACAACCTTGGGTTAGATCGTGTGATTCATGGACAATGAATGGATAATGAAGATAAGAGAATGAGAGGGGCGTGGCATTTGTGTGGACATATATTAACTGAATAAGGTTCAATTCAAACGTCGTTCATTAGTAAATATCTTAAGTGTCGAAGTGGTAGTATTGCTCGTTTTAAAACTGAATGTATTAGGTCTAAATTTTTTAAGTAGCATTTAATTGAACACCAAACCTATATCACTCTTATCTACCAAATCAAACATTGAACCGCAAACAAATGGAATCTTTGATGAAGCTGTCAAGAAATGTCAAAACTGTGCCACTCTGAGTCTGAGATGGTATTGGCCTGGTACAGGAAATGCGTGGGGAGAAAGTAAGGACTTAAGTGGACGACCGGGAAAAAAAAACATTTTTGAAAAAACCCATGTTATGAAAACCGGGCCGGACCGGCCGGTCCGACCGGGAAAAATCGGACCCGGGCACAAGTCCGGTCCCGGAAGGATAAAAACGAGTGGACTTGGGGAAAACAAACTAGCGCCTAATTTTTTGGAATTTCATTTACCTAACAATTAAAAAAATGAAAGACAACGGAATTATGACCGCTAACTTCTTCCTACCCACGTGCCTTCTTACTTTTAACTTTATTTTTTTATTTTTACTATATTCTTCTTTATTTCTATATTGACCAAATACCGGTTTCAGACCGGTTTTTAATACCGGTTAATCAACGGTTATCCGATAAACCTTAAACCTCTCGTTTATCCGGATCGATATCCGGTTCGGTTTTCACAACACTGGAAAAAACATTTCCACATAAACAATAATATTTTATATTCTGGATTTTAATAAGTAACATGTATATATATTGCATAATAGTTTGCAATCGGCGAACAAGACTGCAGATCTGATCGGAGTGCCTAACCGTGCGGAAATGGAAATCGAGAGCCAGTTGGTCGTACTGTGCATCGAAGCGGCCTGCCGAAGCAAAGAAAGCATCGAGAAATGGAGGCGGCAGCGACGGACGCTGGAGCGGATGCCTTCTGTTCTCGCCGACGCCTTGCTCCACCGCCTCCTCCAACGCCGCCTCCTCTTTCCTTCTTTGCTCGAGTAACTTCCTCCTCCTCCTCCTCCTCCTTCTCCAATTTGATTTCCTCGTCTTGTGTTTCTCTTGCCTTTGAATTGTGCCTACTGAGATTCAATTGACGATGAGAAGCTCCGAGTCATCATCTAGTGGAACTCGTGCGGTGAACTCTTCCGCTGAACGATTTCCGTGGAGTTCGTTCCTCTGTGAATTTGCAGGAGATCGGAGGAGGTGTTTGTTTTCCGTCATTTGGTTGATGGAGCTCGAAATTTCGAATGAGTACCTTGTTCATGGTTTTGAGTATCCTTCCACGGCCAAGCAGTTCAATTCGACATCGCTCACTGTTCACTGAACAATTCACCTTTGCTTCTATCTAGAATCGGTTGTTTGTGGAACTGGAGGAAGGGATTATTAGGATATCGTAGATAGTTGTGGCATTGCCGAAGTTGTTGTTAACCTTATCGGATTTTGTCTCTCCACCGTTGATATATATCATCGCCGAAACTTCTCTATTATGCCCGCTGAGTGTTCTGTGTTTACAGGATGATATATGTGTATGCGTGATGTGCTTAACCTAGCTATGCATGCTTGTGTAGAGTTTTCAAAAACAGCGTGGAGGATGTTGATCTCAGAGGCAAGAACGCAGTGGATGCGGAGTGGATGGCGTATTTGGGAGCTTTCCGTTACTTGCGATCTTTGAAGCTTGCCGATTGTTACAGAATCAATAGTTCTGCTCTGTGGCCTCTAGTTGGTATGGTTTGACTTGAGAAGAAGTTCCCTCGTTCTGCACTGTTCTTTATTCAAATGTCTGTAGCTTAATGCTTCAACTAAATAGATTTCTTACTTTAAGACTTCTGCATCGAGGCATTTGTACAGTTGTGCTCTATTAGGATTCAGAATTTGTCGATTTTAGAATGGCTGCTTGTGAACAAAACTGCTCTCTGCTAAAGTGAGTGGGGTGAGTTATGGACTCTGCATTATGACTTAATCCTGCTTCTTGTCCTTGCAGGTTTGACCAGGTTAAAGGAAGTAGACCTTTCTAGATGTGTCAAGGTTACAGATGTTGGTATTCGGCATCTCACCTTTATCTCGACGTTGGAAGTATTGAGGCTTTCAGGAACTAGCCCAACTGAAGACGGGATTATGCTGCTCTCCTCACTTAGGGAGTTGTCAGTTTTAGAATTGGGTGATTTGCCGGTCACTGATAGAGTCCTGAGCTCTCTCCAGGTATCTTACTTTTTCTTATAATAGCTAGAGGTTCTTTGATTAGAAATATCTTCATGACGATGTTGGACCCTAGTTTAAACTTAATCGGCAGACCAATCTAATTGCTAATAACAACTAAAGATGAATATATTGTTTCCTTAAAAAAAATTCATTAGCTAGTAAGTTTAAAAATGACTGTTTCTTTTCTTCTTAGGTATTGAGAAAGCTAAAACACCTTGACCTTTGGGGGAGTCAAATAACAAACAAAGGTGTTTCTCTTCTGAAAAACTTCCCAAAGCTGAGTTATCTCAGTCTGGCGTGGACAGGTGTCACATTGTTTCCAAATATACCATCTATTGAATGCTTAAACTTAAGCAACTGCATCGTTGACACTGCACTTGAAGGTGATGGTTATAAAGCTCCACTTGCAAAGCTTATTTTAGCTGGAACGACGATACAAAATGAAGCTGATATGTTCTCATGGATTGAATCAAGTTGCATATCTTATTTGGATGTCTCCAATTCATCCCTTGTCGACTTCAGCTTTTTGTCCGAAATGGAAGCTCTCGAACATTTAAATCTGAGCTCTAGTATGATGGGAGATGACTCAATCGAATGGATATGTTGTATTGGAGCCAGCTTGAGAAGTTTAAACCTTAGCAAAACGAGGGTTACTTCTGCTGGAATATCAAAATTAGCAGAACACGTTCCCAGACTCGAAGTGCTATCATTATCTTACACTCTGATAAATGATGCTTCCATCTCATTTCTTGGTATGATGTCGTCACTCAAGGCGATCGACTTAAGCAGCACTAAAGTCAAAGGTATGGACTCTTTTACACATATCCTTCCTTTGGTTTTGCAAATCGATATGATTTGCTTTGTTCCTTACTACTTTTTTTGTGAGGTGTACTTGCAGAAGTATTGTTGTGCACAAAATTAGATTAGATAAGTTGGGGCGGGGTGGGGTGGGGGCGGAGGATAGGATCCATTATCTTAAGGTGGGTTGGATGTTAAGTATCCTGAAATATTTGAAATGCATGTTGCATTTTATATCGCATCTATGATTTCAAATGCACTCAAATGCATCATCGGAAAACAATATATTTGTTTGATTACATGTTATTGCAAATATAACTCTCCCAAAGGTGCACCCAAACCGACAATCTGTTGTAATTATTGGCTCAAACTATTCTTTACTATAGCTGCATACCGGCTTCCTCATTTATTACATCTATGGTGTCACTCTCTTAAATTTGTGATTGGTTGTTTGCTGGACTCTGTAGGTTTCATTCGTCAAGAAGGAGCTGAGCCTGACGAAATCGCCTCGCTGTTGAGCCTTCTCAGCCTCAACAGTTTGGAAAGCCTGAAATTGGAGCATACTCAAGTGGATGATGCAGCTCTAGTTCCATTATCTAAGATGAATGAACTGAGTCATTTGTCTCTCAGAAGTGCTTCACTGACAGACACTGCCCTCCACCATTTATCAAAGCTGTCGAAGCTCACCCATCTCGGTCTTCAGAGTGCCGTGTTGACGGACAATGGCGTGGGGTCATTCAAACCCCCAGAGACTCTAAAAGTTCTCGATTTGAGTGACTGTTGGCTCCTAACGGAGGATGCCCTCGTGTCTTTCTGCGGAAGGCACCCTCTGCTCGAAGTAAAGCATGAACACTTACGGACCTCCTCATCAGATCAAACTGGCTCTCGCCACTCCCCCTCACCCTTGTCATCATCGAGACGCTCCCAAGGGAATCGTAAACAAGCGAAGAGGCCTACGACCTCTTTGCCCGTGTCTCGGTATTTCATCGGTACGCATGTCATTTGCTCAGCTGCAGAAATGTTCCTTTTCAGAGGAAAAGCCGAGGTTTCGCGTTGTCTTTACATGGATTCTGATT